CAAACCTGAATTTTCCATGCCATGTCAGCACTCATATAGTCTCCGTATTCACGTTGATTTTTGACATTAGCGACGTAGGGGTTGAAAGTCATGTGGTTCGCAAACGTTGGGTCACTGAATAGTTGCTTCACGACCTCTAGTGCATCGCGCCAAACGAGCTCCACAGGACGGACAGTCTTATAGCCCTTAAATGCTAGTTTGGAGACTTTCCACGGGGCAAAAGAAGGTAGTGAATCCATCCAATCCAGGAGGTGGTCTTTCGTGGTGAAAGAGGGTCTTGCGCAATTCGGAGCATCAAACTGTGAAGGTAGGATCAGATTGAGGAATACAGCTTAGATCGATATCCGTCATTTACCCATTTCAACTTTAAGAACTTGGTTATTTGAGTTTGAGTGAGGTTTTCCACCAAAAACTTCCCTAATTCCCATTCGCCTTCATCATGGAAAGGGTAATAATGATTTATCTTCCGTCGATGCGCATATTGATCGTCTTCCAGTTTATCCAGCATATTTCTACCGACACCATAGACGTATCCAGATTGCGGGTGACAAGTACCAGTGACGGGTATCTGACCACTTTGATTGAATACTGAAGGGACGGGTAATGTTCGTGGTCGTGCGTCGGATGGCCAGCAAGTAGATGGAGAATTGAGATGTGAGATAAGCGCCTCGATGGATGTATATTCCCCCAATTTGCAGTTGGGACATAGCCTGTCAATGGTATGTATGGTATCGTAAAGTGAACAATGGAAGTACTTACATTGTACCGTAGACTTGGCTTAGACTTAAGCCGGTGAGTGTTTACAGGAAGTAACAAGTCTTTCAAAGTCCGAAGACCTCACGTTTCACAGCGTACAGTCATCACGCCAGGCTAAGTAATGGAGCCTGTGTCCTCATCACCAGTCTCATCTCCTGCTCGTCCAAGTAGCCCTGCTTTCACCAGCACTACATCAAGTAGTGCAACTCGCGTAGAACTAACTTCCTTAGAGTTCTTTAAGAAGGTTGACCACCCTGAGTCACCCCATATCAATACCATGGCTACTGAGCTCTTATCTGGCTCTGACTGTTCACTTTCTCCCAAGCTGTCCCCCTACCCCTCAGGTTCTCCAATAATTCACTTCTCCCCGGTGGAAGAAATTCCGTACCTTCCTGATGTAAAGGATAGTCTGTTGTATAAGCCTGACATTTTACAGTCCCCAAAGTCACCTTCTCGAGTAGCTTACCTGCGTGAGAGGTCGACCAAGAGGCATATTCCATACCCCCCCAGGCCATCTCCACTAGAACTTCGGTTTGCCAACCGCGTGACAGGGCGAGTACGGGAACCAGACTTCACATCTGAACAACTGCAAGAGGTATTTGTTTTTCTTTTCTTTGTTCCAGAAATTCGCAAATTCTCACATGATCTATGTCCAAAAGCATGAGGACGCAATATCCAGCGGTCTCTCACGGATGAGCTTTGACACCTTGTACAAAGCGTTCAAGGCAGTACTCGCTAGTCGCGAGGCTGCTCGCCATGAGGTGGCAACATCGTTATGGCAGGTCGAATACTCGGAGCGCATGACAGTGTTTAATCAGGCGCTCCACGAGGAGAACAAAAACCGCCTCAATTTGAGGGACGAACAGCTGAAGAAGATTAGGAACATTTTTTCTGAGCGTGAACGCACAGAAATCGATGATGACACGAATTACATTCAAGCTGTCTACAACGATGAATGCGAGATGCTTCGCGCCATCACCACCCAAGCAGAGATAATCTCAAAACGCCTGGGATCACGTGCCAAACGTGAATTATTAGCGTCTACCGGCGAAGTTCCCTACCTCCCTCGTTTCATTGGCACCTCACAAAACAGGGACAACATCACATGTGCGCTGCGTGGTGGTTTCACGGATGCCGGTACCGATACCGATACCGACTCCGATATCGATTTCGGCGAAGAGGAGGATCGTCGCAGCGGGTGGCCGGGCCAGCAGCGTGCGCAGTTGTGACTATCGATGGTATGTGACTATCAATGTTATGTGACTGCCAAGTTGTTCACGCCACTCACTGATCAATATCAGTGACACTCATGTCACTGTTCATAGATTGTTATCGCCTTACTTCGCCCGTCCGTAACATGCTTCGACCGTTCATATACACACTTCGACCGTTCAATAAAGCGCTTCGCCCGCTCCGGCCGTTCATATATCTTTTTCTCCCGTTCATAAGTCGTCTTATCGGACCACGCCCCCCCCCCCTTCTTTTTACGCTTCATTAGTAAATGGCCTTGCTTTTTGTTGTCAAATCATCTTATCAGCTCGTCACGCGTTCCCGGTTTGTAAAGATCGTGTAAAGTTTGTGTTTCTTTTCCCCCTATGTACCGTTACGTTGTTTCGCAACTTAAATGTACGCATGCACTCTTACATCCCCTCCAACTTGAATGCCTAGTGAGCGTGGCCCTCAGCGAAAAACTAAAGCTAAAGTCCCCAAACCGCCACGCGGTTCTGGCCTCAATCCATCCGGCGAACCAGCAAGTGGCCAACTTCACATTCCTACTGAGCAGCCGCGTATGTCTCAGTTCAACTTCGATGCGCATGCGGCCAGTGGAGGAGTTCCTACCCCCATATCAAGTGGGAGCACATGTGAGTCAATCACACTTTCGTTCACTGATGACTCTGACGATTTCGCAGCATCATATGGCTGGAGTATGCAGAACACTGACTTCGACGGCCGCTTCCCTCACGGCCAATACTACGGCGCTTCGTCCTCGGAGGGCCCCTCCCAGGGCTCTTCTTACGGACCCTTACCTCAAGGCTCCAACCACGACTTCCCTTCAAGTACCCCCCTTCAAGGTACCGGTACCAGCACGAGCGCGTCGGAGATGACGCTGATCCAGCGAGGTGAGATTCCGCCAACCGATGTGATGCACGTAAGTTCTTTTTCTTCTTCAATTCGTTTCCTGCTTACCACTCACTTAGACGATGGGCCCGCCAAGGGAAACAACGAGGCGAGCCCGACGTGCGATGCCACCTACGCCACGGATGGTTCCGTACCCTGCCATACGCCCGCAGGGCAACACCCAATCTCTACCATCAGCAGTCGAAGATTCAACTTCGCAATCTGTAACGTCGTCAACACCTCAACCCACGCGCATCAAACTATCGGATGATATCATTGGCCAGTCCATGAAAACGGCAACGCATTTGGTCACGCGCGAGTTATTTGGAGAACAGGCGATGGCGATTGACAAAGCCGCCAAGAAAATCATGCTGAACAAGGTCATCTGGGACTCGGTACCACGCTGCTTTGCACCCAATGGTGAGTATCATATGTCCATTAACATCATACTGACTTGTTTTATTAGCAACGTTTGAGGATTTTATCTCAAATAAACATCGTAAGGATGTTGCGAATGCGTTGTCGTCAACTCGCGGCAAATTCGCTGAATACGCGCGCAAGGGCGTGTTCCATGCATATCGGCTTTTCCCTCCACTGCACATTGCCGCACCCGCTATCACCTATCGCAAACGCTTGATCGAAAAGATCACACAAGATGGAGATGGTCTCGCTTTCATGCACGTTTATAGCTTCGATCAAGTAAGTTTTCGTTCGTGTGTGTTGTCGGGGGCAGCTCAATCTTTTCAGAACGGACAGGTCGAAATCAAAGCTAAATTCCAGAATGCGTTCATCATGTGCAACGTTATCCGTTTTGTTTAGCAGGGGTTGCACCAAGAGTTCCTCGGCGAGACTGAGGAACAGCAAATCGAAAATCTGAAGTTCATGTGGGCACTCGCCGGCGCAGCGACGTTCTGCAGCCTCGATGAACAGTTCGAAGTCCAGGTGAAAGTGGATAGTTTTGGAGGAATGGGATCCAATCGCAAGTTCCTATATATCCTCAGTGCGATGAACAACCTTTCCGGGGACGAGCGAGTACAGTTTCACAACTTTTTGCGGTACGTGTTAGTGATTGGACCATCGCAGGCACCCTCGTAGATTCTATCAGATAGTAGTTTTCGATTGTACTAGTAATACTGGATAACGCATTTATTGTACTGATAATCTCACATCGCATTGATAATCTTCAAATCCCACATCTAAATGTGTGAAACTTGGCTCAGGGTTCAAACATAACCAAAACCAGGTATTTACGAACGAAATCTAGTAGATTTCGTGCTAACCAAAACGGCAACTCTCGCGAGAGTCTTACAAGAGTTTCAAACTATATTTCCACCGAGTTGGTTTTTTAGATGTATATCGCTGTAAACAAACCAAAATACGTTACGTCTCATGATCAAGCTAACTCGGACACCATTTGCCTTGGCAGGCTTTCAATATTCAATATCCAATCCTCATTGTCTTTGTGAACCACGCCGCTGTGGATGGAGTAAAGACTCTAGAAGACAAGAAACGAACCATTTGCCTTGGCAAGCTTTCAATATTAAATCATCATTGTCTTTGGTGAACTACGCCGCTGTGGATGGAGTAAAGACTCTAGAAGACGTGAGTAAGCGAGAAGGAGAAGATGGTGGGTGCACGGCAAGGTGGGAAGTGCACATTTGGCGTTCTGGATTAATGTGATTCTTTATGAGCTTATACAGGGTACGTGGCATTAGCTCGTCATGTCGGCTTAGCATCTTCCTTACGCATCGTCCGCCTATCTTCGTTTTTTTTTTACTTGTACAACACCACAAGCTTACTGGTGATCAATCTCTCAATGCGTATCCCGGATAGCCACAACACCTGTCGTCCTGTATCGCCCATGAAATTCTTATGTTCATGGCCTGCCATTTTGTCAAGCATTTCAGGGCGTACATATAACACACCTCAAATAAGGTAATTCACACTACAGCACCTCTGAGCCTATCTGTACCAATTTTCACTGAGCATCAGGTTTCAGGACACCGACTCAGGCCCAGCTGTCACTGTCATGCTGCAAGTACTATACAGGGCCTCATTGTACACTGCGGCGCTGCTTTGAGACGACACCCACTAGTAAGATACAAATAGTGAACAGGATGCATACGATGTACCCATTCCACAATACGCTTACTAGTATTTTTCTGCATCTTCCTCTACATCATTGGAGGGATCCAAGCTGCACCTACAACAAACACAACAAATACTACCACCAGCGACAGTGTTAAAGTCCCATCATTCACGACCAAAACCTTGTGGACCATCATCTCCAGCTCTGTTCTCACTCTTTTTGCATGTATATACAGTGCCATCCACCCTAATATCCCGAGTCCGAAGGACAGTGGTTCCTTTCTTATCATACGGCGACAACTTGGCATGATGATAATGACACTCATAGCTCCTGAAATGATTGTTACATGGGCTATGCGCCAGTCGTTTAGCGCTCATCAAGTTACAAGACAGTTCAAAGAATCAGGGTATCCCAATGTTGGTCCGGAGTCTGAAGGTGAGTTGTGCTTTTGGAAACTCTGCATTTCACAACTCACTATACATGTCCTCAGAAATGGATTTTGTTGAAGCACCTGCAACTGAAAATCGCTTCACTCGCTTACTTCTCCGCTTGCCTTTCGTTCGCCTCTTGATCCTGTGTGTTAACGCTATATTATCTGTGCTGTTGTCTCTCTGGCATTTCATTTGTGCTCCCTTGAGGTGGGTCACAAGCTGGATTGAATTAAAGCAATTCGAGTCCGACTCGGAAGGTAAGCCCCATTCATGCTCACCTGGTCACTAAACGTTGACTCATGCGTATCCTTAGATTATACATGGACCCAGACGCATAGCTTCTTTGCGCTGATGGGTGGTTTCATGCTTTATGTGGACGGAGAACCCTACCTTACACTACGTCCTGAATACATTCTCAAACTGATACGTGACGAGTGTATCGACGTCCCTACCATAACAGCAAACCAGATCCATGACAAGAGCAAAGGCAATGCGATATCAAAAGCATTGGTCATGCTTCAGGTGGCCTGGTTTGTTATGCAGCTCATCACCCGCGTCGTCTGTCACCTCGAAACCACTCAGCTCGAAGTGGGGACACTCGCTTTTGCGGTCCTCAGTTTCCTAACTTATGCTATGTGGTGGGACAAGCCTCTCAATGTGCGATGTCCACATCCAGTGTACTGGAAGTCAACTGTGTCAAGGCCAGAGGATCACATCGAGTATGTATGCGCCTCAACAGTTCTACCGCTGCTGATTATGTTTGCCTTAGTTTCAGTTACCGAGATGAATTTGCTCGCCTTCGGTACTTGCCTCAATTCTTCCGCCCCATTCTAGAACTGATAGGCTGGGTTGACATCCCAACGTCTCGAAAGCTTCGAGTTCCAACATTTGATGGCAGCACCACTATTGAAGATTCGAACAAAAAGGTTCTTCGGCTTGCTGCCGTGCTTATGGCAACCATATTTGGCGGCATTCATTGTATGGCT